TGAGGTCCCCAAAGTAAATCTAATTTATGGTCGATTAAATTTTTTAAAAGATACAAAAAAAATCATTGGATAAAGGTTAGCTTTTCTCAGTAAATGGTGCTGGAGGAATTGAATAGTCATATTTTTTAAAAAGTAAACTTTGATTCTTACATTGTACTATTTATGTAAATTAACTAAAAATGAATCATAGACCTAAATGTAAAACTTAAGTTATAAAATTCTAGAAGAAAACATTAAGTATTGTTGTGTTAGGCAAAGATTTTTTTAGACACAACAGTAAAAGCAAGATAGATTCTGAAAATTGATGAAATGCCATTCACCACAAATTAAGAATTTCTATGTCAAATGGATATCTGTACACCTGTGCTTATTGCAGCACTATTCACAATTGCCAAGATGTGGAATCAATCTAAGTGTCCATCAACAGATGAATAGATAAACAAAATGTGGTATAAACACACAGTGGAATACTATTCAGCCTTTAAAAGGGAGGAAATTCTGTTATTTACAACAATATGAATGAATCTGGAGGACATTATGCTGAATGAAATAAGCCAGGCACAGAAACATAAATACTGCAAGATTTTATTTATATGTGAAATCTAAAAAATTTGAGTTCATACAAATAGAGAGTAAAATGATAGTTACTGGAGGCTAGGGACGGGGAGGGGAATGAAAGAATGGGAGTTGTTAATTAAAGGGTAAAATATTTTAGATAGATAGGAGGAATAGGTTTTGAGATCTATTGCACAGCAGACTGACAATAGTCAATAATAATATATGGTATATTTCAAAATAACCAAGAGAATAAATTTTAAATGTCTCCCATAAAAATTATAGGTAAGCAAGGTGATGGATATATTAATTAGCTTGATTTAATTATGCTACCTCATATACATATATCAAAACATCACATTGTACCCCATAAATATATAACTATTATTTGTCAATACAAAATAATAATAAATTAAGAAATTTTGCTCTTAAAAAGACACTGTTAAGGGAGTAAGAAAAACCACAAACTGGGGGGAAATATTTATTCATAATATATCTGATAAAAGACTTGTACCTTGACCATGTAAAAAAAAACTCTCAAAACCCAATAAAAAGAAAAAGCACGACCCATTTTAAAATAGGCAAATGATTTAAACAGAGACTTCACCAAGACAGATACCCAGATGGCAAATAAACACAGAAAAAAATGTTCAACATTATTTGCTATTAGGTATATGAAAATTAAAATCACAGTAGTGTACGACCACACACCTACTAGAATGTTTGATAGTATAAAGACTGATTATACTAGGATATGGACCAATTAGAACACTCCTAGACCACTGGGAATAATATAAAATTATATGGATGCTTTGGAAAACTCATAGGCAGTTTCTTAAGAAGTTAAACAAATGCCTTCCATATGATGCAGCCATTCTACTCTTATTTACTCAATAGAAATGAAAGCATATAACCTTAGAGAGATTTGTACATGGATGTTATAGCAGCTTTATTTGTAAATGCCATGAAAATGATAGGGCAAAATATCTATCTAACAAGTGAATAGTCATCAAATTGTGGTATATCCACACAATGCAATTTTTCTTAGAAATAAAAGAAATGAGCTATAGATACACATAATAACATGGATGAATCTCAAAAAATAATGCTGAATGAAATAAGCCAAAGGAAAAATGATTCCATTTTTCTCTATGATTCCATTTATATAAAATACTCTATGATTCCATTTATATAAAATCATTGAAAATGCAACTAGAGTGACAGAGAACAGATGAGTGGTTTGCTATGATTAGTAGCAGTGGGGAAATGGGCAAGAGAGAGGCATTAACAAAAGGTGCAAGGAAACTTTTGGGAGTGATGGATAATTTATTATTGTGATTGTGGGGATTCTCTCTTAAGAGTATGTGTATGTCAAAACTCATCAAATTGTATACTTTCTATATGTGTGGTTTATTGTATATCAATTATAGTTTAATAATACTGTTAAAAGTTTAAAACCAAAAAAATCAATAGATTTAACTATATAAAACCAAGAACTATATGCCAAAAATTATTGACACTTTTAAAGTCCTTTATTATCTTATATATTTAATACATATATAAGAACAAAATATGAATAGACTTAAAATAATGTATATCAAAAATTTAATCATGGTGAAAAATGTTTGATATAAACTAATATTTTGATTCTTACATCATACGAAACTTTTAAAAATAAAATATTTTATCTAGAAATTTTACTTCTAGCAATTATTCTCAGACATATGCAAAAATACTCGTATGCAAAGGCTTTCAATAGAATGGTTGCTAACTACAGAAAATAAAGAACACCAGACATTTAATTTGAGTGTTGCTATAAAAATTGCCAAAATAATTATACAGCCAACTTTACTAACAGTGAAAAAGTGGGAAAAACAGAAACTTATATTATGTCATAAATTAAGGTGTGTTCAAATACATAAAAGCATATGCTTTTTATTGTGGCAAAATATACATATCCTAAAATTTTCCATTTGTAAAGTTTAGAATTCAGTGGCATTAAGTACATTTACATTCTTGTGCAACCATAAAAGCCTTTGTTTTGTATCCCATTATAAGATATTGAGATAGGGAACCAGCAGGCTTTGCTCAATAAGGAATCATAATACTTAAAGGAAGGTCTCTGATAAAACAAAAGACAGCAGAGAAACTGGACAAAAGCAGCAAGAACCCAGATGGCAATAAAAAACAATCTCAGGTTACCCTCACTGTGTATTATACCCTCCTTATAATGTATCATTGTGGTAAAAGAAACTCCTACCATCACCATGGCAGTCTACAAATGCCATAGCAACTCACAGAAGCTACCCTGGGTTTAAAAAGAGAAGGAACTCTTGGTGCCAGGAACTACCTACCCCTCTCCCAGAAATCTTATAAGTAATCCTCCCTCTGCTTAACATAAAATTAAATACAAGGTATAAAATAAGACCCCCAAAATCACAAGGTCCTATTCTTTGTTGCCCTGAGAGATAGCTGCTGCTCTGTCTATGGAGCAAGCCTTCCTTCTGTTTCTTTGTTAATTCAGTAAACTTGCTTTTGTCTTACCCTGTGAGCTAGCTCTAGAATTGTTTCTTGCAGGAACCCAAGAACTCACTTGGCATTCAGGCGAGACCCCAGTTTTGGGGTCCACGTTCCTATAACAATATGGCTGAAAATTTTTATGCATTCATGAATAATACCTATGGCATAGTTAGTTGGTGTATTTGGAGAAAGAAAAATCTCAAGAACAAGGTCTGTAATGTAAGCAGTAGCCTTATATAATTGTGTAAATGCTTTCTGATTAAAATTATCCAATGATAATAAATGATTCATTGAATATCAGAAAAGATTCCATTTATATAATACAGAATTAAAGTTTTCCAAAAGCCTTAGTAGATGTGAAAGTTTAAAAAAATGAGCTGTATCATTTAAATGATATGGTTGTCTTTCTGACCTGTGTCAAATGCTGCTGTAACATCCCTCCTATCTCCAAGGACACAGTCCTCAATGAAGCCTGCATTACTTGATTTTTTGCCAAACTTCATTACTCAGAAAATTAATTAACGACTCTTGAATGTAGGTCACAAAGCACCTTTTGTTTTTTCCACTTGGTGACATTTTTGGCAAATTACAAAGTCATGCTTGATATTATAAAAGCATTTCTCTCTGTCCTGATGATTTAAAAATCATCTCTTCCACCAGTAGATAGTGATCCTAGTATTATAATTTCAGTGATGGAGATAGTAAGAAAGTATTTTGAAGCTTATAATAGCACTAAGCCCATCATGAGGGAGCCTGTCCAATTTGTTGAAGGTGGAAATCATAGGGAACTCTGTGCATTCCCAGACATGCCGGTGAATATGAAGACATAAATACCTTTATAAAAATGCCACTTTGAACATTGAAGTCCTATTGTTGCTTTGTTTGAACAACCAACAGAAACTCTCATATACTAACAGAAGAGTAAGTATGATAAAGTTTGTGTCTTTCATTGCAATATTCTAGGTTATATTTTACTCTGGAAAATAAAATGGATTTAAGTGAGAATTTATTAATATTTAATATATTCATGATATATTTATAAGGTGCAATTTTTTAGAATGAATTCCCCTTGTATAGGTAAATGTCATTGTCTGGGAGGTTTTCATGCATGAGATACATAAATAAATCTGCATTTAACTTAACATAAAAATTATCCATGCTAACTTTGGCTGTACATTCAACCTCAAATTAAAAATAAAGTATCTTTGTATACATAGATTTATATAAACATACCCTTTCATCCCCCTAGTAAAAGGAATAATATATTGATCTAAGCGATAACACCTCATTACAGATTTTTGTATTCATTTTAAACATTTATATGAAAGATAAAATAAATAGAAAACAGTTACACTTTAGTGCCATTCTATTTATTAATTTCTATTATGTAATAGATTATAAAACCTTGGGGAAAAGTATATGTATTTTGAGAATTGACTAACACTCAAAGTTTGAAGGACTGAGTAAGATTTCACAATGGTGTACACATCACCTGAGTAATTAAGGGAAAATAAGTAAGGAAGGTAGGAGAGCAGCAGCAAAAAAAGAAAAAAAATACGTGTTCTACATCTCAATTTGATATAAATAGTTGATAGTTGCTGAATGAGACCCTAATTATATGTTATATATTAGTATTGTTTTACAAAAAGACCCAAAATATCAAGAAAAGATGGGAAATCAAGGGTGAGATTTTGCTATTTAGTTTGTAAATAGATACCTTGTTACCTATAAAATTAAACTTTTTCGTAAATCTACTTAGTTATATGAGCAAAGCAGAAGATGAACATAAATGGAAAAAAGAATGAAAGAGAAAGAAAGAGACCATTAAAAATAAAAACTTGAATATGTTAAATTTTAGGATGTTTAAAGTAATCTCTAAAATATGTCTTAATATCACATACAGATTGAAGAGAAGTCAGAAGTCAATGATGAGAAATGATACAGTAACAACATTCATTCTTCTGGGACTCACAGATGACCCTCGGCTGCAGATCTTAATTTTTATCTTTCTATTTCTCACCTACATGTTGAGTGTAACCGGAAACCTGACCATCATCACACTCACCTTTGTGGATCCTCACCTTAAAACACCCATGTACTTTTTCTTAAAAAATTTCTCCTTCTTAGAAATCTCATTCACATCTGCTTGTGTTCCTAGATACTTGTATAACATAGCAACAGGTGACAAGGTCATTACTTATAATGAGTGTGTCATCCAAGTGTTTTTTACTGACCTCTGTGGAGTAACAGAATTTTTTCTCCTGGCTGCCATGTCCTATGACCGCTATGTGGCCATCTGCAAGCCCCTGCATTATGTGACTATCATGAACAGCAGAGTTTGCAGGATTCTCATCATCTGTTGTTGGATGGCTGGTTTATGCATAATAATCCCTCCACTTAGCCTGGGTTTAAATCTAAAATTCTGTGACTCTAACATAATTGATCATTTTGGGTGTGATGCATTTCCCCTGGTGAAAATCTCGTGCTCAGACACATGGTTCATGGAACAGACAGTTATCATCTGTGCGGTGCTGACCCTGAATATCACTCTAAGTTGTGTAGTTCTGTCATACACTTACATCATCAAGACAATTTTTAGATTCCCTGCTGTCCAGCAAAGGAAAAAGGCCTTTTCCACCTGTTCTTCCCACATGATTGTGGTTTCCATCACTTATGGCACCTGCATTTTCATCTACATGAATCCCACAGCAAAGGAAGAGGTGACTGTTAATAAAGTAGTTTCTTTGCTCATTTCTTCTATTTCGCCTACATTGAACCCATTTATTTATACCTTGAGAAACAATCAGGTAAAGAAAGCCTTCAAGAATGCAATCAAAAGAATTGCATTGCTCTCAACTAAGTAAGAGAAAATCTTTTTAAAACATCTCACAAGAAAAAGATACAAGGCCACAGACTTTTTGTTTTTGAAGTTTATATCCTTCCTTATAAATAATATATAATTGAATTACTTTAATGTTCTCAATACTTCTTTAAACTAGCTTCCATTGAGTCCTGCTCAAGCCATATTTGCATCTTTGCTTTTGAAAACAATCTCTGAGAGTTCTGCATGTCATTAAGAAAACATCTAAATAGATTTCCCAAATTATCATTTTGAAATAAAATTAACTCTATAATATTACATTTTAATATGTAAGAAAAGTCATTACACAGGAAAATATGAGATAAAGTTCTTTGTAGCTCTTCTCCAATACACACAATAATATTCAAACATATGTAATAAGAATAACTTTGTGTAAAATGTCTAAAATGGATGAATTTATAATACATGTGGAAAGACAATAGCAGCACTTCCAATATTGAGAAAATAGAGAAAAAATTACTACTACAAACATACAGACATGCTGGATAAATTTTAAGAAATTTTTTATCTATAGATGAAATCATTGAAATGTTATAAATAAAATGTGTCAAAAATAAAGATTCAATTAAAAGTCGATGGATAATCTATAAAATGACTGGTGGATGCTGAGAAGATCACAGACTAAGAATGGGAAGTCATATTATGGATCTCAAAGGGTTAGGTTTAGAGTCTCAGACTCAGTGTGGTATGAGCATAATATCATAAAGTCAGAACTGTGAAATTGTTGCACACTCACTGAAAGCTTGAATTAGAAAATCAGGCCCATTTCCACAGAAAGATTGCAATTTTTTTCTGGAAAGCATTGTCTGCAGCTTATAGAGCTATGAGTCAAGGGAAAAATAATCCCAAGTGTACTTGATTGCCTGTGCCTACATAAGCATTTACAAAAACAAATTAAGTATTTACAGTCTAAATTATCTCATAATAGTCTAAATTGTTAGATATAAAAATTGAAAAAGCCACACAATAAAATTGGTTGGAAATTCAGATATTCACATCAAATTAACTAACTGCCATCTAGAAAGCAATGAAATGTGGACAGGTCATTGCAAATTATTTGAAGTATGAAAAAAAACTAGTCAGAAAGAATTCTATTTTAAATGTATTCATTATTTACAAAAATGTAAACTAGACCAAAAGAGAGGAACTTCTGCTTATCCTAATGAATGTGAGAAATGAAAAATAAAAGTAAATGGAAAGTGTAACTTACTAAAGGTAAAAACTGAAATCCATTAAACAACTTCAAGAAATTCAAGAGCTAGCTCTTTGAAAAGTCCAAAAACATATATATATTCCACTCCAATTGATGTAAATGAGTAAAACACAGAAATGTTCAATATCTTTTTTTTATTTCAGGAAATTATGGGGGTACAAACATTTTGATTACATGTTATGACTTTGCCACATCCCAACCATGCTTTGAGATGTGCCCTTCCCCGTCTACAAGGCTCACTGTGTCCATTAGTTGTGAGTTTACCAACCCCCAACCCCACTCCCAAAGTATATTACTACTCTGTGAGCTCCTTAGTGTTGATCAGTCAGTGCCAGTTTGACGGCAAGTACATGTGGTGCCTATTCTTCCATTCTTGTGAAACAAATTTGGAGATACCTCAAAGAGCTACAAGTAGAACTACCATTTGATCCAGCAATAGCACTATTAGGCATCTACCCTAAGGAACAAAAGTCATTCTATAATAAAGACATCTGCACCCGAATGTTTATGGCAGCACAATTTACTATTGCAAGGATGTGGAAACAACCCAAGTGCCCATCAATCCATGAGTGGATTAATAAAATATGGTCTATGTATACAATGGAATACTACTCAATTATAGAAATGTTCAATATCTTATTGGAAGGTCTTGGACATGAAATAATAGAAGGAAACAAAATACTTAGGATAAATATGCAAAAGAATACATAAAACTGTTGCATTTGAGTGACTATAAGTTCTTATTTTATTCACATTTTGCTTTTCTGAAGTGGAGATATGCCATGCAATAGGTAGCAGCTATCATTTTCAAATAGACCAGAAACATATCTATTATCTGTTACTTTATAATTCATACTACAATACAGAAAACTTCTAATTTTTTTAAATTGGAAATATAATCAAAAAATCAATATAGTGAATCAGTTCATTAAATTCCTACAATAGTGAACAATTCATTTATTTTTCCTAACTTATCATTATGAAGGCATGTAAATACACGTATTTGATATGTTTCAATGCATTGTGGTTATTATTCTTTATTGATGCTCAAATTTGCCTATTTTTAACCAATGAGCCTTTTCAAGTTTGTTGGAAAGTCCTGTTCACACAAAACTATAGCCTGTAATAGCTCCTTGGTTCCTTTGTATGACAAAATGTTTCAGGCCCAATTGTACACTGCTGTGCTAGACATAATAGCCTCTCAAAGAGGTCCACGTCCTATTCCTCTCTGGAGAATGTATTACTTTACATGCCAAAAATGACTTTACAGGTAAAATTAAGTTAACGATCTTGAAGGGAGGAGATTGTCTGAGATTATCAAGATGGAGCAAATTTATTACAGTAGTTCTAATAGGAGACAGTCAGGAGAGTGAGAAAAGAAGATGTGAAAATAAAAAGAGATCACAGCAAAACAGTGCCACTAGCCAGAGAATGCCAGCAGACTCTAGAAGCTGGAAAGGCAAGGCAGTGGATTCTTTCCCTAGTGCCTCCAGCAAAACACAGCCTTGCTGACCCAGATTAGACTTCTCACTTCCAGAACAATTTAAAAAAATGTTAATTTATGTTAATTTGTTACAGCAGCAACAAAAACTGATATGACAGCATTTCTTGCTCCTAACCTAGAATAAGCCATTTGTCCAAAGAACCTGGTTTCTTGTAGTTGGAAATAGTATTTAGAAACTGTACTATGAACACTTATTGCTTATTGCTATTGAATCCGCCATTGTCTCTAACCCTTTTCAGAGGACAAAAGTAGGAAATATGATTTCTTTATAACACTTTAAAAGAAATTAATAGACTATTTCTTAGAGTAGTTTTAGGTTTACATAAAAACTGGACAGAAATGACAATGTTTCTATACACTTCCTGTCCCTCCTTCTAAAGCTTCTCTTGGTATTAACATTTGCAATGATGTGGTACATTTGTAAAAATCAATGAATCAGGATGGGCACGTTCTATATATTTAACAAATATATAATTTCATGTATCTACAATTACAATATCATACATAATATATTCACAGCCATAAAAGTTTCACTCTGATCCACCTACTCATCTCCCCTCCTATCCTCCTAACTCCTGGCAACCACTAATCTATCTATAGTCTCTATAATATTACCTTTTTCAGAATGTCATACAGTTGGAATTATACAGTATGTAGCATTTTCAGAATGGCTTCCTTCACTTAGCAATATGAATTTAATTCTCTGCCATGATTTTTCATGGCTTTTCATTCCATATATGAATGCATTACAGTTTGTTTATTCATTCACCTACAAAATGATTGCTTCCATTTTTGGCAACTGTTAATAAATCTGTTACAAACATTCATGTGCAGGCTTTTGTGAGAACATAAATTTTAAATTCATTTGGGTAATTGCCTAGGAGTTTGACTACAGGTCAGTAAGGTAAGACTATGTTTACCTTTGTTAGAAAATGCAAAACTATCTTCCAGAGTGGCTGTATCATTTTATATTTCCACCAGTAATGAAAGTTTCTGCTGGTCCACAACCTTGCTGTTTCTTGATATTATTAGTGTTTTGGATTTAGGCCATTCCATTGCATGCGTAGTGGTATTTTATTATTGTTTTAATTTGCAGTTTTCTAGTGACATATGATGTTGGGCATGTTTTCATATGCCTGTTTACTAGAAGTATAAATTTTATTAAAGTAACTTATGAGTTCATAATGATATTTTTAATTCAAACTACTGAATATATAGTCTTCTTAGCAGCACATAGGACATTCTCCAAGATTGATTATATCTTAGGCCACGAGACAGTTCTAAACAAACTCAAAAAAATAGAAATCATACCAAGTATCTTCTCAGAATATTGTGGAATAAAACTAGAAATCAATCACAGGAGAAACCTTCAAATCTACAAAAATTCATGGAAAATAAACAGCCTGGGACTGAATGATTATTGGGTCAAGAATGAAATTAAGATGGAAATCAAAATGTTCCTTGAACTGAATGACAAAGGGGACATAAGTTATCAAAATCTATAGGACTCAGCAAAAGCATTCCTCAAGGGAAAGTCCATGGCCTTAAATGCCTACATCAAAAAAACTGAGAAATCACAAATTAACAATCTTATGACACTTCTCAAGGAAATATAAAAAGAGTAGCAAACCAAATTCAAAGCCAGCAGAAAAAAAAATAGCAAAGGTCAGAGCAAAACTAAATGGAAAAGAAAACAAACAAAATACATATATTATATGTATTTTATATATACATAGAGAGAATCAATGAAACAAAAAGCTTATTCTTTGAAAAGATAACCAAAATTGACAGACATCTTGCTAGCTTAACCAGGAAAGGAAGAAAAAGGACCCAAATAGTATCAGTCAGAAATGAAAAAGGAGATATTACAACTGAGACTACAGAAATAAAAATATCATTTGTAAATACTATGAAAATCTCTACACATATAAACTCAAAAATATAGAGGAAGTAGACAAATTCCTGGAAACACACAACCTACCAAGAATCAATCAGGAAGAAATAAAACTCCTGAACAAAGCAATAATGAGCAGTGAGATTAAAGCAATAATAATAATAAAAAACTTTCAACAAAAAAGCCCTGGACCAGATGGAGTCACAGCTGAATTTTACCAAACCTATGAAGAAGAGTTGGTACCCATCATGCAGAAATTATTCTATAACATCCTCCCCAACTCATTCTATGAAGCTGGTATCAACTTAAACCAAAGCCAGGAAAGGATACAACAAAAAAATAAAACTACAGAAGAATGTTCATTATGAACAT